GGGGGAGTGTGCTGTCACATCATAGGGATTGCAACTAGTGTCACATGAAAATATGTGTATAAAATTTTGTATAAGATTAACTTTAGCTGTAAACATTCACCCACAGTACAGTTAAAAAAAAGAAAGAAAGAGAACAAAAATCCTCACAACTGGAGCAATAAGCAACATCATGATAAATGGAAAACAGATTGAAGTTGTCAAGGATTTCATTTTACTTAGATCCACTATCAACACCTATGGAAGCAGCAGTCAAGAAATCAGCCAGTGCATTGACTGGACAAATATGCTGCTGCATTGGGCAAATCTGCTGCAAGAGATCTCTTTAAAGTGTTAAAAAGCAAAGATGTCACTTTAAGGACTAAGTTGTGCCTGACCCAAGCCATGGTGTTTTCAATTGCCTCATATGCAAGCGAGGACAATGAATAAGGAAGACCAAAGTAGAAGTGATGCCTTTGAATTATGGTATTGGCGAAGAATATTGAATATACAATGGACTTCCAGAAAATGAAACAAATCTGTCTTGGAAGAAGTACAACCAGGATGCTCAGTAGAAGCAAGGATGGTGAAACTTCGTCTCACGTACTTTGGACACGTTATCAGGAGGGACCAGTCCCTGGAGAAGGACATCATGCTTGGTAAAGTAGAGGGTCAGTGAAAAAGAGGAAGACCTTCAACGAGATGAATTGACACAATGGCTGCAACAATGGGCTCGAACATAGCAACGATTGTGAGGATAGCGTAGGACCAGGCAGTGTTTCATTCTGTTGTACATGTGGTTGCTATGGGTTGGGATCAACTCAACGGCACCTAACAACAACAGGAATGTCAGAAAGCCATCGGGAACGGAGTAAGTTATATGTGTGCATCAACCAGACTTCAAGCTACAGATGTCAGAAGGAATTCAACCAGTAAACAGTGACTAGAGTCCAAAAGACCACTGTGTGCTCTGTTTGGACAGATCACTTATACTTAGAGGGAAAGTAGATAGCTGGTAATGATTTATAATGAAAACGAAGATTTTAGAAAAGTTCTATTTATACAAATTCAGAAAAAAACATGGGTTCTATGAACAGAACTGGAGAAGCCGAAAGTAGAGATAAGGGACAATAGGATGAGATAAAAGGAAAAGAAGATGAGATGCAAAAGCACAATTGATCACTGCTGAACAAGTATTGACCTCAGCTATAGATCTGGGTTTGAATTCTAGCTCTTCTATTCATTAGATGTGTGGCTGTGGACAAATCACTTAAGCCTCTAAAATGTGTTTCTCCATTTGCAAAATGGGATAAATACCTATCTCTCAAGGTTACACTGAACAAATGCTTACAACATGACCAAAATGAGAAAGGATAGGAAAAACACTAGAACAAGGTGTAGGCATGCAGTAAATATTTAATAAAAGGTTAAACCATTGCTATAGGCGATTCTGACTTATGGTAACCTCAAGTGTATCAAAATAGAACTGTGATCCATAGGGTTATCAATGGCTAGTTTTTTGGAAGTGGATTACCAGTCCTTTCTTGTGAGGCACCTCTAGGTGTCCTCAAACCTCCAACCTTTCCGGTAGCAGCCCAGTAAATTTACCCTTTGTACTGTGTAGGGACCCCAATAAAATGTAATCATTTTTATTACTAAAAAGCTTAGAAGAAAAAGGACTGATTGAAGCAAAGAAAGAATTACAAAGAAACTAAAAATACAATCAGTAATAATCTACATTGGAGACATTAAAGAGCAGAATTAAAATTGTGAGAAAAAAAAATCTAACTGCTAATGTGGAGGAGCCCCAGAAGGTTGAGGGAAAGGGCAAAAACTAAAAATGATGAGAGAAAAGCTAAATCAGAGGTTCAACCTATTAATTAAAGGTATTTTTGAGCAGAACAAAAGTAATAAGCTAAAATATGAACAAGGAAAACTTGCTGGAGTGAAAAATAATCTCAGTCTGAAGAACGAAGGCCTCACTGTATTTCGGGCAAAATTAATTTTAAAATATTTTAATTCAGCAAAAAATTTAAGCTATGGAGATAATTTTTTAAAAAAACAATAATTAACTCATAAAAAGATTCCAAGGAACAGCTTAAACAGAGAAGTCTTTCAAACATCTGTAAGCTGTTCCAGAGGATAGGAAAAGATGAAAAACCATCCAAACTATTCTATGAAGTGAGAACAACCAAGAAAACAAAACCTGACAAAGATGGAAAAGAATTTACCAACCCCACTTGCACTTAGGAGTTGATGCAAAAATCCTAAATAAAACACTGGCAAACTGAAATCAGTAGAATAATAAAAATACACCCACATGGTCAAGTTGGATTTCTCCCAACAATGCAAAGATGGTTCAAGATTATCTATTAATGTATCACAGTGCCAGAATATAAGACAACCCTAATCTAAAGCAATCCCCATTTTCCCAGTGAGAGGCTCCAGAAGTTTTTTTCCAGTATGAATGAGTATAATTTTATGGATGTATATGAAACAGTTAAATACCTGTTTAAAAATAGTTACATATTTGAAAACACATAAAACAATACATTGATTTTAAAATACTGGATTTTTTTTTCCATTGTCATATATGAAAAAATTTATTTCACCTCTTCCCGTGCATTCTTGGCACAATACATTTGTTGTCACAAGAGTCACTCTGAGACATTTCACACTGTTTTCCAGAGTATCCCATCTTCACTTCTGAGTACTTTTTAATCCACATCTTAATCCACATATGATTTCATTTTAGGAAATCATTTGTCCTGAAACTATAGAACTGTTATCTCAAAAACAAAGCCTTTTTTTTTTTTAATAAACTTATGATTTCCAGTTCTTGCAATTGTAAGGTGATATTCCAGAAGTGATTATTTTATCAGTGTTATGTCTTGCCTCCTATTTTACTGACTCTGTCTAGGGACTTCTACAAGCATTCAATACCAGCACCAATCAAAGTGCTGTATCAGGTTGTTGAGAATAAAGTAAATTGAGAAAGACTCCCAGAATATGAGAGATCTTAAAATGTCAGTAAAAGACATTTCCCTTTTTTCTGAAAGATAAGTTTTGGAAGAAAAATTTCACTTTATATTCAACTTTTTCACATCAGGGCACACTTAGAAAATTACAATATTTGTACTGCACATTAAGGTAACTGAACAAGGCTGGTAAGGCCAGACAAAGAAAGCTCTGTGGTCAACATTAGCTTCCGTGAGAAAATCTAGATCAGTCTCTCAGAAGCAGGATATTGCCATGGAGCTAGAAAGATTAAACCCTGGCTCTGCTACTTAGGAGCTGTGTGACCTTGGGCAAGTTACTGAGCCTCTGTGTTTCAGTAGCCACATCTGGAAGATGGGTGATAATAGTACCCAGAGAATTACTGTGAGAATTAATTGAACTAATTCATGTAAAGCACATAGTAAGCATCAATAAATGCTAGTTTCAATGACCTTGCCTAATTAAAAGCAAAGTAAACAAAACAAAATGACTCTCTAAAGAAAAACAGCTCTGAGTACAATACCATCATGTCACCTCACACCCCTGAACAGTCACTTTACGGTGAAATTCACCAGACAATAAGGCCTGACCTCACTTGAAGCTTCCAATCAACTTTTTAGGTTGTAGTTGAGGATCACTAGGGAGATGAGAAAGCCTCCTACATGAAAGGCAGATTAAAACCAAGACACAAACTGGGGGGTATAAAAAAACTTGGAAGGAAGAGATACAGGCAAACTTAAAATACATACATAAAGGAGACCTGGTGGCACAGTGGTTAAGAGCCTGGCTGCTAACCAAAAGTTCGAATCTATCAGTCACTCCCTGAAAACCCTATGGGCAGTTCTACTCTGTCCTATAGGGTCGCTATGAGTCGGAATTGACTCAACAGCAACTGATTTGGTTTATAAATGTATACATATACACACATACATATGTGGATAAACATGTATATTTGTGTATATATATGTATATACACACAAACATACACAGACACACACATATATAATTAACAGTTAAGAGCACAAGCACTGGAAAAATAAGTTATTATATCTATAAAATAAGAACAGAATGTTACAAAAATAGAATTACCAGAAAACAAGAAAGAGTTCAAATAGAAGAATTAGAAAATAATGTCAAGGAAATTTCCCAAACAGAAGAAGAAAAGTAAATAAAATAGGAAAGGGGAAAAAACAGAAAAACGAGAAAATTAGAAAATCAATCCAACACTGAACTAACAGGAGTTCTGTGAAGAAAGAATAGGAGGAAAGCGGGAGGGAAGGCCAAAGAATTTTGAAAGACCTCTGAGTACTCAGCAAATGAATAAACAAAAATCTATACCCAAACCATATTATGGTTAAATTTTAGAAAACTATGTTTAATGAGAAGAAGTCACATGTACAAGGGAATAGGAATCAAAATGGCATTGCCATAATGAAAATGCTTTTTAAGCATTATCTCAGGTGTGGGATTATGAATTTTCTTTCCTTCTCCATCTTTTCTGTCTTTTCTGTAATGAACAAGTATGACTTTTTTGTCAGAAAACAATCTTAACATAAAAAATATTGGAGAGCCTAGCCTGGATTTAAATGGCCCCATTTCTTATCTGTCTTCATAATGTCACAGTCCATCTCTGAGCACTGATACAAAATCCCCACAAGTCGGCACAAGTCCTTTTGATAGAGGATGCATGAGCTGCAGAGAGAGCAGAAAACCACCACTCCAGGGATTCACTACCCTGTTGTATTTCTGCGTATGAATGCCATACACTCACACTTACTCAGCTAGTGAGCTCTTGTTTTTAAGCATATTCCCAGAATATTTTGCTATCTGAAGGAAGGGGACAGGGAAAGCCTACAATTCTTTTGCCTAGGCACATCTTTGTATCCATTATTATCATGTCACCATCATTGCAGTTAGCATTTATTTTAATAAGGAACTGCTAAATGCTTCAATTTGTCTTCATTCTGTTTATCGAACACTACGTCTGAGGCTTTGCCAAGAGATGATTTTCCTTTTGACAGACTTACCTGTGGAGAAGATGAATATCGTGTTGTCCCAGAGCCCATGGTTTTTTAAGGCTGCGGTGACATTTCCCACTGCTTCATCCATAAGGGACACCATTGCTGCATAGTGACGCCTGTTCTTATCTTGGATAAAGTCATAGGGCTTCAAATATTCTTCAGGGACCTGAAGCGGTTCGTGGACAGACTGGAGAGCAAGGTAGAGAAACAGAGGCTGGAAAGAGATTTTGTGCAAATCAGTTAAGAGGGCATGGAGGCATTAAACATAGAATAAGACCATCCAGATTTATCAACACACAAACACAAAAGGAACCAAGCCCATTCTCATCAAGTGGATTCTGACTCATAACAACCCTACAGGACAGAGTAGAACTGCCCCCACAGGGTTTCCAAGGCCATAAATCTTTACAGAAGCAGACTGCCGCATCTCTCCCACAGAGAGACTGCTGGGTTCGAACAGCTGACCTTTAGGTTAGCAGCCGAGCACTTAACCAGTACACCACCAGGGCTCCTCCCAGATTTATCCGTTAATAAAAATAATATCAATACAACCCACAGAATCGGAGAAAGTGTTTGTGAATCATATATCTGATAAGGGAGTCATATCCAGGATATATAAAGAACTCAATAATAAACAATTAAAAATGGGCAAAGAATTTGAGTAACTATTTCTCCAAAGACACACAAATGGCCAATAAGCACATGAAAAGATACTCAGCATCATTAGTTATTAGGGAAACGCAAATCAAAACCACAATGACATAACATTTCACACCCACCAGGATGGCTATAATTTTTAAAATGGAAAATAAGTGTTGGTGAGGATGTAGAGATATTGGAACCCACATTCATTGCTGGTGGGAATGTAAAATGGTATAGCACTTCAGAAGACAGTCTGGCAGTTCCTGAAATTGTTAAACATACAGTTCTATTTATATGACCCAGCAATTCCACTCCTACAGAAATGAAAACATAGATCCATACAGAAACTTGCACACCAATGTTCACTGCAGTATTATTAATAATAGCCAAAAGGGAAAACAACTCAAATTTCTATCAACTGATGAATGAACAAACAAAATGTGGTATATTTGTAGCAATATACAGCAATAAAAGGGAATGAAGTGTCGATAGATGCTACAGTATGAATGAACCTTGAAAAATTATGCTAAGAAAAAGAAGCCAGTCACAAAAGACCACATATTGTATGATTCCATATATGAAATGTTCAGAACAGGCAAATGTATAGCGACAGAAAGTAGATTAGTGGTTGCCTAGGGCTATGGGAGGGAGGAATGGGGAATAACTGCTAAATGGGTATAAGGTTTCCTTTTGAGGTGATGGAAATACTCTAAACTTAGATTGTGGCTACGGGTGCACAACTATATTTGCTAAAACTCTTAAATTGTAAAGGAGCCCTGGTAGTGCAAATGGTAAGCATTCAGCTGCTAACCAAAAGGTTGGAGATTTGAATTTACCCAACGGCTCTGCAGGAGAAAGACCTGATAATCTGCTTTCATAAAGATTACAGCCAAAAAAACCCTACGGCAGTTCTACTCGGTCACATGGAGTCGCTATGAGTCAAAATTGACTCGACACCTAACAACAACACTAAATTGTGTATTTTAAATTGGTGAATTTTAGGGTATGTTAACTATATCTCAATAAAGATGTTTTTTAAAATAACAACAGGCCCAAGACAAAAAATAAAAGCCAGAGTCCTAAAATGGCATGGAAGGCCCTGCATGTTTTAACAACATAATAATAATATCAATAATAAACAAAGAAAAAAACCGATTGCTGTCAAGTCGATTCCGACTTATAGCGACCCTATAGGACAGAGTAGAACTGCCCCCATAGAGTTTCCAAGGAGTGCCTGGTGGATTTGAACTGCCAACCTTTTGGTTAGCAGCCGTAGCTCTTAACCATTACGCCACCAGGGTTTCCAATATCAATAATAGCAACCATATATGAAATCTTGTCTATGTACTAGATACTGTGATAATAATTTGCATGTATGATCTCATTTAATACCCAAAACCACCCTATGTTACATCCATTTTTACAGACGAGTTAACTGAGGCTTAGAAAGATTACGTGACCTGCTCAAGTTCACATTAAGTGCATAGCAATTTTCTATCGTAAAATCCACCATTACAGTATGGATATGTACCAACAGATGAATCTTGGCTACTCTAGATTATTTTAGCTGAAAAATAAGTCCCTACCTTTTGGAGAAGCTTAGGGTTTTTTAATACAATATTTTATGAGGAAACAAGTAGACACCATGTCTTCTTAAGTCTTTGGTCTAGGACTAAATGTAATACCAATATAATTCCTGGAAACTGAGGAGTGGGATACACTGATTCTACTCTACCTTTTACACCAGTTTACAACCCTTTACATTAGTGGTATTCCAGGTCAGCCTGTCCTTCTTAATCAGACTTTCTGAAAGCAACTCCTATCTGAGCCATCCTCTTCACTGTGCTCCTGAAGAAATTTATTCTCTCACAGTCTAGTAGGCTACAAGTCCAAATTCAAGGCATCAGCTCCAGGGGAAAGTTTTCTCTCTCTGTCAGCTCTGGAGGAAGGTCCTTGTCATCAGTGTTCCCTTGGTCTGGGAGCAACTCAGCACAGGAACCTTAGGTCCAAAGGACACGCTCTGCTCCCGGCACTGCTTTCTTGGTGTTACGAGGGCCCCGTGACTCTCTGCTCGCTCTTCTCTTTTATATCTCAGAAGAGACTGGCTTAAAACACTATCTAATCTTGTAGATCTCATTGATATAACTGCCAATAATCCATCTCATTACATCACAGTGGTAGAATTTACAACACATAGGGAAATCACATCAGATGACAAAATGGTGGATAATCATACAACACTGGGAATCATGACCTAGACAAGTTGACAGATATTTTTGGGGGACACAATTCAATCCATGACACATAAGGAGGATAAATACAAAGAAAACCACACCTAAGCACATCACATATTCAAAATACTGAAAAGCAAAATCTTGGAGGCATCCAAAGGCAGAAAGACACATTACATCCAGAAAAATAATGATAAGAATGATGGCTAATTTCTCACCAGAAACAATGGAAGCCATAACACAATGTAGTGACATCTTTAAAGTGTTGAGGAAAAAAATACCTGTCAGCCTAGAATTATACATCCAACAAAAATATCCTTCACATGAAGGTGAAATAAATACTTCACAAACAGACAAAAGCTGAAAAAATTGTCTCCAGTGTATCTGAACTAAAAGAAATACTAAAGGAAGTTAAAGGCTGAAGGGAACTATATTATACCTACCTTTTCACCTTTTTTGAACAAATTATTAGTATGTAAGATTTGTGGTAGATTTGTTTCTACAGAAAAAACACATAACTTATCTAACAAAACAAAGTATTTCTAAAAAACTTTCACTGTGCCCATTTGGTATTAGGAAGAATTTATTTGTTTTTAATTGTGTTTCAAGTGAAAGTTTACAGTTCAAGTCAGTTTCTCACACAAAAATATATACACATTGCTATGTGACCCTAACTGCTCTCCCTATAATGTGACAGCACACTCCTCCTTTCCACCCTGGATTTCCTGTGTCCATTCAACCAGCTCCTGTCCCTTTTTGCCTTCTCAACTCGCCTCCAGACAGGAGTTGCCCATTTAGTCTCATGTATCTATTTGAACTAAGGAGCACTCTCTTCACGAGTATCATTTTAGATCCCATAGTCCAGTCTAATCTTTGTCTGAAGAGTTGGCTTCAGTGATGGCTTCAGTTTGGGCTAATGGACAGTCCGGAGGCCATGTCTTCCAGGGTACCTCCAGTCTCAGTCAGACCATTTAGATTGGTCTTTTTACTGGAATTTGAGTTCTGCACCCCACTTTTCTCCTGCTCCGTCAGGGACTCTCTGTTGTGTTCCCTGTCAGGGTGGTCGTTGGTGGTAGCCGGGCACCATCTAGTTCTTCTGGTCTCAGGCTGATGGAGTTTCTGGTTTATGTGGCCCTTTCTGTCTCTTGGACTACTACCTTCCTTGTGTCTTCAGTGTTCTTCGTTCTCCTTTGCTCCAGGCGGGTTGGGACCAATTGATGTATCTTAGATGGCCGCCCGCTAGCTTTTAAGACCCCAGATGCCACTCACCAAAGCGGGACACAGAACATTTTCTTAATAAACTTTGTTATGCCAATTGACCTAAATGTCCCCTGAAACCCTGGTCCCCAGACCCCTGCACCTGCTATCCTGTCCCTCAAAGTGTTTGGCTGTATTCAGGAAACTTCTTAGATTTGGTTTAGTCCAGTTGTACTGACTTCCCCTGTAGTGTGTGTTGTCCTTCCCTTCACCTAAGATCATTCTTATCTACTATCTAGTTAGTGAAGACCCATCTCCCTCCCTTCCCACCCTTGCAACCATCAAAGAATGTTTTCTTCTGTGTTTAAACCATTTCTTGAGTTCGTATAATAGTGGTTTTATACAACGTTTTTCCTTTTGCGCCTGACTAAATTCACTCAGCATAATGCCTTCCAGATTCATCCATGTTATAAGATGTTTCGCAGATTCATCGTTGCTCTTTATCATTGCATAGTATTCCACTGTGTGAATATACCATAATTTGTTTATCCATTTGTCCTCTGATGGGGACCTAGGTTGTTTCCATCTTTTTGCTATTGTGAACACTGCTGCAATGAACATGGATATGCATATATCTATTTGTCTGATGGCTCTTATTTCTCTAGCATAGATTCCAAGGAATGGGATTGCTGGATCATATGATACTTTTATTTCTACCTTTTTAAGGAAGTGCCAAATCGATTTCCAAAGTGGTTGGACCCAGTACTGGGGAAGCCAGCACAACTTGCACAAGACAAGTTCATAGAAGCTCCATAGACAAATCGAAACTCCCTGAGCAACCAAATTGCTGGGCCGAGGGCAGTGGGGACCATGGTCTCAGGGAACATCTAGCTCAATTGGCATAACATAGTTAATAAAGAAAATGTTCTACATTCTACCTTGGTGAGTAGCATCTGGGGTCTTAAAAGCCTGTGAGTGGCCATCTAAGATACCCCACTGGTCTCACCCCTTTGGGACCAAGGGAGAAAGAAGGGAAAGATTAGTCCAAAGGACTAATGAACCACAGCTATCAAGGCCTCCACCACGCTGAGTCCAGTACAACTAGATGGTGCCCGGCTACCACCACTGACTGCTCTGACAGGGA